TATAACACTACTTTTCTTAAGAAGTTAGGAGGCCTTAATCCAGTGTACACAGATGAGACCCTGAAATAGGAGAGAGGCCAGTTGCTGATGATCAGTGCAGATGAGGAATCAGCTCTGCTGAGTAGGCTTCAAGCTTTGTGATTTTTACAAGTGGACTATTTCAAATGTGTTGTAGAAGAAACAGTCTTTTCTGTTTGATCAACTTTCCACTTTCAGAATACTGGAGTTTCTCCCTCCAATTCAGCCTGTGGTTCCAAAAGATAAAAATCCTTCGAGGAAACCTTTCAGCCTCAGTAGCCAATTGCAACATGCCCAGGGAAGTTCAGCAACAGCACCATTCAGTAAATGAACTGCTCTGGACCAGACATCCCGGAGAGATTGAGCTCCAGTGCTAAACCCCATAGAGTGTCAACTGCCATAAGAGCTGATTTTTAGCTTTGCTGAGATTCTCTCGTTTCCTTTGGTGTACCTGGCACATCTGGAGCAAGGGGTCAGGGCAAAAGTACATCCTTAGCAGGGTCAGTACAGATCATGTCACAAGAGTAGCGATTTCTGTAATTAAGGAAGGCAATTAGATACAGGAATTTATTTTTCTAGCCCCTCTTTCTCGACTACCGGTGTCTTGCTTCATCATGCCCTGTGAGCAGTCCCAGTGCTCTGTGATTGCCGCCAAAAGGGACTTGCTAACAGGGAACAAACACCTCCTAGAAAAAAGGTGCCACCACAGAAAGCTCTTGCTGCCCAACAAGTGCCCTGGCTGCACCGACAACTCCAACTGAAGCCAAAGTATCCAGACTTACTTTGCTGTGGAAAAGAGCTGCTCATCCATTTTTCAGCCCTGCGCTACAATGGCCAAAATAACTCCCAAAATTGAATCCAGCTAAAGATTCCTGCCAGACAAAAGGTGCCACCACAGAAACCTCTTGCTGCCCAAGAAGTGCCCAGGCTGCCCCAACAACTGCACCTCAAGGCCAAAGCTTACAGACGTTTTTTCCTGGTGAAAAGAGCTGCTGATCCCTTTTTTCAGCCCTGCACTGCAATGGCCGGTCCCACCTCCTGAAAAATAGAATCCCAATGAAGATTCCTGCCACACAAAAGGTGCCGCCACAGAAAGGTCTTGCTGCCCAAGAAGTGCCCAGGCTGCCCCAACAACTACACCTCATGGCCAAAGGTTCCAGACTTTTTTTCCTGGTGGAAAGAGCTGCTGTTCCATTTTACCATCCCTGCGCTGCAATGACTGGTCCCACCTCCTGAAAAATTTCCTCCAACTGAAGATTCCTGCCAGACAAAAGGTGCCACCACAGAAATCTCTTTGCTGCCCGAGAAGTGCTCGGGTTGCCCCAACAACTACACCTCAAGTCGAAAGCTTCCAGTCGTTTTTTCCTGGTGGAAAGAGCTGCTGATCCCTTTTTTCAGCCCTGCACTGAAATGACTGGTCCCACCTCCTGGAAAATTTCCTCCAACTGAAGATCCCTGCCAGACAAAAGGTGCCACCACAGAAATCTCTTTGCTGCCCATGAAGTGCTCGGGTTGCCCCACCAACTGCACCTCCAAGCCAAAGCTTCCAGACTTTTTTTCCTGGTGGAAAGAGCTACTGATCCCTTTTTTCAGCTGTTCGCTGCAATGATTGGTCCCACCTCCTGAAAAGTACCATCCAAATGAAGATTCCTGCCAGACAAAAGGTGCCACCACAGAAATCTCTTTGCTGCCCAAGAAGTGCTCAGGCTGCCCCAACAACTGCACCTCCAAGCCAAAGGTTCCAGACTTTTTTTCCTGGTGGAAAGAGCTGCTGATCCCTTTTTTCAACCCTGCACTGCAATGGCCGGTCCCGCCTCCTGAAAAATAGAATCCAAATGAGGATTCCTGCCAGACAAAAGGTGCCACCACAGAAACCTCTTACTGCCCAGGCTGCCCCAACAACTGCACCTCAAAGGAAAAGCTTCCAGACTTTTTTTCCTGGGGGAAAGAGCTGCTGTTCCCTTTTTTCTGCCCTGCGCTGCAATGGCCTGTCCAACCTCCTGGAAAATTTACTACCAAGGAAGATTCCTGCCAGACAAAAGGTGCCACCACAGAAAACTCTTTTCTGCCCAAGAAGTGCCCGGGCTGCCCCACCAACTGCACCTCCAAGCCAAAGCTTCCAGACTTTTTTTCCTGGTGGAAAGAGCTGCTGATCCCTTTTTTCAGCCCTGTACTGCAATGGCCGGTCCAACCTCTTGAAAAATAGAATCCCAATGAAGATTCCTGCCAGACAAAAGGTGCCACCACAGAAACCTCTTTCTACCCAAGAAGTGCCCAGGCTGCCCCAAAAACCACCTCCAAGCCAAATCTTCTAGACTTTTTTTCCTGGTGGAAAGAGCTGCTGATCCCTTTTGTCAGCCCTGCGATGCAATGATTAGTCCCACCTCTTGGAAAATTCAGTTGAGATGAAGATTCCTACCAGACAAAAGGTGCCACCACAGAAATCTCTTTGCTGCCCAAAAAGTGCTCACGTTGCCCCATCAACTACACCTGAAGGTCAAAGCTTCCAGACTTTTTTTCCTGGTGGAAAGAGCTGCTGTTACGGCGAATTGAGGGATAGGGGGAGACCTCCAGGCCTTATGCTTCCAGCCCCATTGCCTGCGAGGTGAATGCCCTTCCCCCCACCCCTGCACGTGGCCCGGTGACCCCGCAAGGAGCACACACAGACCACCTGGGAGGGACGGAATGAAAGAGAGAGTTTATTGTGGGGTTGGGGTTTATAAGGCTTTTAGGAAGGTCAAAGGGGACCAATCACAAGTTCAGGGTCACACAAAAGAAACCATCAGGTAAGGGGTCAACAGCCAATAGGAAAGGGTTAAACAAAGGACCAATGGGACGCCTCGGGACATCTTCCCAGGACACCTTGTATGGGAGACAATAGCTTCACAGGGGGTGTTTGGGAGAGGGATACAGTGACACTGCAGAAAATACACAAACATGTTGAGACATGTTTAAACTACAGTAAAAGCTTCTGTTTCCATAGGGTTTGAGCTGTTTTCCTCACCAGTCCATTTCTGGCAGGACTTTTTCCATATTGTATATGGCAAATTCATTGCCACATCTCCTCGTTTTTTGTCTTCTAAAGCTGGATATGCTTTTAATGATTGAGAGGTTCTGGCACAACTGAGGAAACATGGAAAGACACACATAAAGAGAAACACTACAGAGAGTACTAGTACGATAACTACAATAATTTTCTTAATAGTGGAAGAGAGGCCTTTGAAGGGTAGCCAGCTGAAAAAATCATCAAAAGTCAGAGGATTAGCTTGCTTGATTTCATGAACTAAGGATTTAAGCTGATTAATCTGGGAGTGGATAGATTGGGAGTGATCAGAGAAGTTGAGGCAGCAGATGCCTTCAAACTCCTGACACCCATGGCCATTTACTAGAAGGAGAAAATCTATTGCAGCACGATTTTGTAACAAAGCTTTCTTATTGGTTTGGGTATCCTGTAAGAGATCATCAAGGGCAGCACTTGTGGCATTAGCTTCTTTTGCTAGCCAACATCCCATTCTGGTAAGGAGAGTTAAGGCTTTTGTGGAGCCGACCATTGGAAGTATACCACTTATAATGTTTGCAGTGTTTGACCAAAAATGCATGTTGGAGTTGCATTCTGCTGTGAATTCATTTAAGGACTGTAATTTTGCTAAAGGATGTTCTTCAACTGGATGTGGGGGTGCTGCAGCTACAGGGATCTGCACTGCTTTAGGTGGAGAAAGGGATTTTGGTTGTGATGGATAGAAGTTAAGAGGTGGGTGCAAACTTTGGAATTGCCTGCGCACTCTATGATGTGAAAAGGGTGAGGTTCTTTGGAGGTTACTGTTTCTTTTTGCACGATTTTTGGGAGGCCTTACAGGTAAAGATTTCATAAGGGTAGCTGGATTGTACAGTGCTAATTTTCCAAATGTACAGGGGCCTCCAGCAGCTAATCTAGGAATCATATTCCAGACTCTAAGTCCACAAATTAAAAAGACTCCTTTTGGAAGGATAACCGAATCAGGGGTAGCATGTATCTGGTAAGGAACCTCTTCCTTGCACCAGAAACTGAAATTGGAATAAGGTCCATAAGAGGTGACATTAATTAACTCAGGAGGGGCAACATATTTGTTGTGAATGAAGTAAAAACAGAAAGGAGATATAATACTCCCCAAGATTTCTAATTCCTCAGGTCTCTGCCACTGATAGCTAAATGTCTGTCTGTCATGTGAAGTTTTTGCTGGTCTTGTGAGACAGTCTAAGAATGGATTCCTGAACTGATCGTGGTCATCACACCAAGGGATATACTGATTTCTAAAATTACCCCATTCGCTGGGTGTCCAGGGGATTCCTACCAGACAGGTCTTAAAAGGGTGAGAGGGATCTAAGGTAGAGAGACAGAGAGAGTCAGTATTTAGTGATTGTGCCAGGTTTAGCCAAACATTTTGGCCAGAGAGCATTACCCAATTTGGAATTGTTGGAGGAGGTGTGGCAAGGGCTCCTGACATTAAGTCTTTCTGATTTGCTGGTGTTATGCTGCACGCAAAAAACTGGATTATCCCGAAGATGATGCTGATGAGGGATCGCTTCCTGTAGCAGGTGCTGAATCCGTTGATGCTGGATCTGCTGCTGGTTGAGCTGGGAGGGAAACTTCTTGGTGGATCCTCACTAGTCTGGACGGTATCCATCTTGGACCTGCTCCTGTGGAGACACAAGCGTGTCCTCTCCCCCAAACAATTAGAGGGACAGGACCAAGCCATTCTCCTGTCAGGATATCCTTGTATTTTACCTTAGCTTCCCCCGTTTTTAATTTTCCAGCTCCAAAATGATGTCCAACAGGTGAAACATCCTCATGCAGCCTATTTAAAAAATTGAGGACATACAATGCCTTGTTTAAACATTCTGATGGAGAGAGACCTACAGTTGTTTTTTCTTGTTTTTTCAGCATATCTTTTAAGGATTTGTGAGTTCTCTCTACTATTGCTTGGCCCTGTGGAGAGTGGGGAATGCCAGTGGTGTGAACTATTCCCCACATATTGAAAAATTCTTTAAGGGAAGCAGAAATGTATGACGGGGCATTATCTGTCTTAATTTGTTTTGGAACGCCCATTATTGCAAATGCTGAG